AAAACCCAAAACATCCAAGAGAACCCAATTAACAATAACAATATAACACACCAAAAGAGAAACCAAAAACTGAAAACAATCAAAAAAAAAAAAGGGAGAAAAAACAAGAAATAACCAGTGCCAATCTTGTCTGAAGTCCTCCAAGCTCTCCCCAGGTTTTCCTCTGCTATACACACACTCCTGTGTGTCTTGTAGGGGCAGAGCCAGCCGCCTGGCACCTAGAGTGAGCTTGGTAACGCAGGCCTATTTTAGATGAATGGAGTTATGAGGTGTGATAGGTAGTTTTTTTACAAAGTCAGTGTTATTTCTGCTCCTGCCTGTCCAGAGGCAATCTGATTTCTGCGCAGCCAAAGGACTGGGTGTGCGTGTGCGTCTTCGGGTGCTCTTTCCACTGGGGCTGTTGGAGGGTGGGGGGGTAGAGATTTCAGAGCTGCTGGTAGACCTTCCTGTGTCTCAGCAGCCAAAGTTGTTCTGCTTCCCAAGCTGCCCAGGAGAGGTGGGGGCAGGGACAGTATGTTTAGTAGCTCCCACCTGCAGCCTCTTCTCATGTAAATTACTCAACCCCCAGGGAGTCAAAGCACCTTTGTTCTGACTTACTCCTCTCTTCAGGGGTCAGCCTCAGTCTCTGGCAGGGAGGGGGCCAAGGTTTCTGAGGGAGGGTGTGGGTGTGCACTTCTCTATGCAGTTCATTTATTTTTCCTGTCTGAGAGAAAAGGGGAAAAAAGAAAGAGAAAAAAAAATAGGAAAAAGAAAAAAGCCCCCTCTGACCATCCCGCAGAGCCCCTGCTGCTCTCCAGGAGTCCCCTCCTCCCCCAGCAAAGCAGCTCTGTCTCCACAGCTGTGGGGTGCGGGCTGTGTCTCCACGCTTCTCACTTCCCTCTTCTCCTGCTCGCAGGTTTGAGATTTCTGTCTCAGAAACTGCGTGCCCTGGGGTTCCTGTGGCACTCCTGGCCGGAAGGTCAGCCCAGAGGCTGAGCTTGCCCTGGTGCTGCAAACCACTTCACCTTGTCCTGAATTCCCACAGCTCCACAGCCGCGGGCGTGGACGGACTGTGCCTCCGCTCACGCCCTCCTCTCTGTTCCACTCCTCGCGGCCTGAGGATTCTGCCTTAGCGCGGGCTGCAGGTGTAGGGAGCGAGCGGCCGGGAACTCTCTGATCTGCTCTCTGAGACCCCGAGCCTCAGCAGCCGTGGGTGCGGTCTGTGCCTCCATGTGCCTTGCCTCCCTCTTCCCCCACTCGCCCCGTCTGCCCACCTTTAAGTACTCAGCGTGTGAGTCCCTTCGCTGCTCAGCGTGCTTGGTAGAGGTTTGTTTGCTGCGCTCCAGCTGCTCAAATTGCTCTGCTTTCCAGGGGAGAGCTCAGGGAGCCCTCCTCACTGTTGCCATTTTTTCTCCCCCCTCTCCAGAGCTTGTACTCTTGAGCGAGAGCTTAACCAACTGAGCCACTCGGCAGACCCCCACCCCCACCCCCGCCTTTTTTTTTTTTTTAAGATTT